TATTTTGCTAGCGGAGTTAAACCACGGCACCATAGGAAGAGGAGCTTGGATTATGACTGCAGTGGCTGCATGAATAATACAGATTCTGTTCTCTTCCCAAGGTGATAGTCAATGCAGCTACACCACTGCAGACTGTGGAAGAGGGGAACAATGTAAACACAACTAACATTTTCAGGGGCACTTCAGTAACTTCAGAATCCAAGATTAATGTTCAAAAGTAACTTCATGTATCCTGTCACCTTTACTACAGTGATAACCAATGAAACTCAGCATATTGAATTTCTCAGTCATTTTTAAAAAAGTGGAACTTGGGAATGTAATTACTTTAATACTAAATTACTGATTGTCCCACTGCCAAGGGACACCTCTTCTGACAACCTTCTTCTGAGCAGCCATCAGCAGAAAGAACAGGATAAAGGTACATGCTACCATGAAAAGATGTTGGTCTGTGGAATAGTATAGGTTCATGGTTTCCAAAATAAACATGAATATTAAATTTGTGTGGGACTGTGGTAGCATTTGTCCTTCCATAAGACAGGACCTTTTCTTAGCCCTGAAAATGTAAGGGTATTTCACTAATTACCACAAAGAATTCTCCGTTTCTCATAGGATAAGAACTTGTATATGGTATGATCAAATTCTCACACACAGAAAGTGATTATGAGTAACAGCATGAATTCCAGAATTGCTCCATCCTGTTTATTTTCAATTCACTTACTCTCAAGAAGAATGGGAACTTTTTCCCATAGAATCCAACTCGGAAAAACTCTGGCTCCAAACGCTGTTGATCCATAATTTTATCATACAAAGATGCTTCCATCATCTGGGTGAGATTGATAAGAAATGCAATTAGTATTTTTGAAAATACATTTTTACCCTAAACTACCACAAAAGGGAGGGTCTTTCAGCACACTGCTCTGGAGTAATGGAATTGCAATGCATCTTTGAGAAATAATAGCACCCAGAAGTTTCTGAATGAATCAGATTAAATAATTATACCTTTTAATGACCTGATAGCTTCCAAGAATTAAAATTTTAAAAAGCTTTTAAATATGAAGTACCTACATTCAAGGCATAAAATATTAAAGACAACATGCATAAATCTTTATTGATAAACAGAAGTAATAGAAATGCATTTTGAAACATATGATGCAGTAATCTGCTCATCCAAACATATGAAAACAATGCGGTCAGGTTAGTCAGCAAAGTCAGATATCTCTATCCAAGAACGCTGTTGCCAAATCATATCACATTTCAATGATTTAAGCATCAAATGGGAGTGCCCGTAAAAATCTCACAATAGCAATTAACATCATTATAGATCAATACATCCTGCTTTTCTTTCACTCAAAACACTGACACAAAGTGATCTTGACGTCAAAAGTCCCCCTTTTCTGATATTTCAGAAAAGCGTTCTCAGGTCTTAACTTTTTAATACTGTGGGAAAAACCAAAACAGCATTAGCCCTGTTTTAGGTAATGCAGGCAGCTATTTAGTAAGTGTATGATATCAACAGCTGCCTAGTTATATCTCTATGAGAAATCCCTGCATCTCTGTTTTTGGATTAACATGGTGACACAGATACAATAGAAGGGTATTTCCCAATTCAAACACAAAACACATTAAGTACCATTAATTAAACATGCATAAGTCTATTATTTTATTCACATGATGATAGTCAGTTTGCTTTGGCTTCTAGGATTCTGCCATTGGGATATCAAAATACATTTGGAATAAGCAGATCACTGGGAATACTGCCACATAGCTCTGTGTTGAGAATAATGCTGTTAAGCAGCTCTGGATTAAGTATACTACAACCAGTCCTAGCAGCAAGCATCCTACACATACAGAAAATTTAAAAAAGCAGCTGTAATATAAAATTAAACCCATCAGAAGCAGACAAGAAAAGGGAAGACCGAATAATCCTTAAAATACAGTATCAGAAAGAATGAAAAAAGAAACGATGCTTAGAGTTCTAAGAAAAATGAGAGAGAAGGCAGGAAGACAGTTCCAGGAAAGATTCATTTTGGTATATAATATTAAACAGACCATATTTTTAAGCAGTAAATTAAAAAAAAAAAAAAAAAAAAGGTGTACGTTGCTTGTCGCAAGCTCTTCGCTCACAATTACAACCGCCAAGATAGATTGCTGTTCCTAGAGGAGGACTGCATAGAGCACATTCCCTGGATAAACCATAGGAAACCAATGGAAGTGAATTTGTAATATATTTTTTCTGCAAAAGCAGCTGTACAGATACAAACATTGCAAGATCATTTATTTTCCCAATTTTTCCTTCAAAAAGATCACACTCTTTTTTTATAATCTTAATTGCAGGGAAAAAACCCTCAAACAACAAACTAAAAAATAAAGTTTGCAAACCAAACCTAAGGACCATTCTGCAGTAAATTTAATTTTCCAAGTAATATCTTATAAACCAAACTACAAAGCTTTTGGATCTCTGATGGATGGAAAGCACTCAGGTACATTACCCTCATCTTGCTGAGGTTTCTGTAGTCATAGTAGCTCTCATACTGTTCTGCAATTTTCCTGCATAAGATAATGCCATTTTCCCAACACTGCAAGCAAGTAAAAGATGTTCAGTACATTCTAAACAACTGTTTGACAATTCGTGATTTATTAGCAGTCTGTTCTTTCTATACTACGTCATACTTCCAGTAACTGAAAATACTTCAGCATATCATCCACTAGACCTACTGATAGCTGCTGAGTAAATGCTGATGAATTCTTGAAGGACTGAAACTATATTTAGAGATTTATGTAACAAATGCTTGTTACAGGACTATCACTGCACAAGATGTAAGTCATTGCAAGAGTGATAGACACCTCTTTTGATACTACATATGAGATTGATTCAACACAGTGTGATTTTTACATTTTAGAATTGTATTCTTAATGTATCATCCTTAATTCTTGTAGATCGGAAAATATTTTATTGTACCATACAAATTAAACTCTATAAGATGACTACAGATTTTTTTAAAAAAACTGATGATCAACATCAGTTTGATTACATTTACTAGGCTTACATGGATATTACACTAGCTACACAAAATTTCAATGAAGTCCTTGTTTATCAGCAAAACAATCACATAAAATGTATATAAAATTTTAGACTACAGGACAATTGCTCTTGCTTAATTCAGAATAAGCATTCTCAGTGATGACAATGAACTCTGATCCTCAAAACCCATCCTTTTTTAGAGATTCTGCAATTATTATTCTAAAACACAGAACATGATTTACAAGGTGTAAACATACTCTTTATAATCCAGACCCCTGAATTTTTTCCTCCCTTGGTCACTAAGCAAATTGCATCAGCTTTACATGGCTCATTTTCACCACCTTTAAAATGGGGAGAAAATATACTGTCTTTTATAAAGTGCTTTGAATTGCTGCACAAGTGCAAATTATTTTCATGTGTAAGTGAGGCATTTCTAGGATACAAACACAGGATTAGAAGAAATTTACTGTGTCGCTAAGTAACTGCTTAATCAGGCAATGATTAAACACTTCCCCTCTATCTGAGAGAAGACTGCAACCCTGGAAGTAATGTCCTAAAATTAACAGCCTATCCTTTCCAGATCCACTCAGTAAAACAGGACTTTTACCTTTCCCCGATCAAAGTTTTGAATGATAGTCAGATGGAGACACTCTTTACGTTGCCACTCTGTTTGCATTGGGTAGTTGAGAAACTCTCTCAGTGGACGATCAGACCATTCCAACAGCTCATCGTACAGCAGGAGTGTGTAGGCAGCCTCTACAAGACAAAATATAGCATGGTACATATGAAAACAAACAAAAGAGCTGGACAAAGTACACAGAAATGTGAATGGTCCTGATGAGACACACCTTTTTAATGAGTAACTGATATATTTCAAGTGTGAGACAGATGGTAGTGTTGGTTTTGCACAGTTACTATCTACAGCTATAAAAAATTCAGCTTACAGTTTTCACACACTATTTTAAGTGGAGTCACTGGGACAGTTTTCCTGGAGTCTGACAATACAAAGGGGACAGAGAAATTAAGAAACAATTTCATGCTTAGCCATAGCCTTCCCCACTGCTGTCTCTGTTGTCTGGACAAGGAAACAAGGACCAGAGGATGAAGAACATCACTAAAGAAGAGGAAAGAAGACAGGACTGTAGACACAGTCCAAAAAAGATGAGGGCTGAGAGGAAAAATTGAGAGGCAGATGTGTGCTTAGCACTATTCTTTCCAGAAAAGAAAGAAATCCCTCACAGCTGAGCCTTAATAATCTACCATAACAAATAATTTAGAAGTGCAAACACTTTTATTTTTTTAAATTTTATCTCTAGGTTTGGAAGGAATCAAACATATTGTTGGTATGTGGTAACAGAACAGTATAGTAATCTTTAGATTATGTTTGGGAGAAATTATCTGGGAATATTAAAATTATTATTATTATAGTAATTTACATTGGAAAAGACCTTTACGATCATCAATTCCAACCATTAACCTAACCCTGCTAATACCACCACTAAACCACGTCCCTAAGCACCTCATCGAGACGTCTTCTAAATACATCCAGGGATGGGGACTCCACCACTTCCCTGGGCAGCCTGTTCCAACGCCAGTTCAAAATCATAAGGAGGCCAATGATAGCAGAGTGTAGGTATGTATCAGAATAGCTCACTATGACACTTCCTTTCTAACTTGGCACCCAAGTCCTTTGTTTTAAGAGATTTTTGTCTGCCATAGCAATTTTTTTTTTTTTTTAAAGTTGTCGTTAATGTACATAGAAATTTTCAAAAATAAGAATGGCCACACTGGACAAAAGGCCTGAAGTGTCTCTCTAACCAGCATCCTGTGTCTGGCAGTGGCCAGCATAACAAAAAAACCTCTGGGAGAGGTCTGTAACTATTAGCTGTGCACCAAAACATCATTGGAAAAGCACTGGAACAGGTTGCCCAGAGAAGCTGTGGATGCCCCATCCCTGGAAGTGTTCAAGGCCAGGCTGGATGAGGCTTTGAGCAACCTGGTCTAGTGGAAGGTGTCCCTGCCCATGGCAGGGGGTTGGAACTAGATAATCTTTAAGGTCGCCTCCAACCCAAATCATTCTGTGATTCTATGAAAACAGCAAGAGAACAGATAGCAAAACAATTTAAAAAAAAAGTAAGGTTCATATCACTGCTGAAGGTAAACTACACATGCATTAGTAGCCAATGTGTAAAGGGAACTCAACATCGCTTAAAGAGTTACTACGATATGTGATGTAAAGTCAGGAAATGAATAGTTTGGCACAAAAGCCAGCTGCAGCACAGATACTGCTTGATAATGAAAACTCTCTTGTGACTCACTACTGCCAGGTCACACGAGGAAATTAACAACATTCCTTAATATAACCTGCTATCTAGTCTACACTTTAAATTCATGAACTGCAAAAGGACAGTGGAAATTCCAAGTGAGGGATCTTTCCTATGGATAGCAAAAAAGCATAAGGAAATTGGCTGTGGCTGTAGGTACCTGTAGCCTGTTTAGTAGTGACCCCCAGCCACCTAGTCTGCTTTAAAGTACAAAAAATGCTGGAGAGATTCTGGACACATGCAGTTACAATTGAAAACACTGGGGGAAAGATGGAGGTAATGTAAGGTCAGTTAAATATTTTTGCAAACAAAGATTGTTTAATTTCAAGAGATATTGATTTTATCTTCTCCAGCAATTACTGATGGCATGTAGTTACCCAGATAGTGTGCTTTACGTTGTGTACATAGCAACCATGCACATTATCTTCTTATTCCTTCATTTAAAAGATAATGGCCAGCCATGGCACTAAATTCACATTGAGAAATCCTAGACAACAGCACAGCAAATGTGGTATGTGAAGATTCAGAGACATCAGCAAAGTGCTGTATTTGTTACAAGTTTTCACATCTCTTTCATCATTAGTAAGTGATACGGGTCTTCCTTGCTTCTTTTAAACTACAAGTTAGGTACTGACACACAGCTTTGTAGAAACACTGCACGAAACAGCTAACCAGCAGCATTACAAGAAAGTACGTAAGCTCAGATACTACCAAAGGGCTTATAAAAACTTCCTCTGCACGTTACTCCTCTTGGGTGAAGGATGACCGTTATCAAACATTGATTGTTAGCGCATATCAACAGTAGTCATTTACACTCAACATGGCCCAGCAAGCTGTAGAGATGTGGGGCTGAAAAAAGCTGTATTTTAGAGAGATTAGTTTTGTAAGAAAACTCAGCTGTTGCCTGGGTATGTTAACACACTGAGGATACAGCTTACAGGTTTGCAAAAGACTGCAAATCAGTTTAAAATACCTTTTCTTAGTTTGTACTCAATTACCTGTGAAGTTCTGTGCTTTCAGATGTAGGTCATACAGCTTATGAATATAGCGAATATACATCTCCTCCTTGTTCAGTTCAGTCTTGTAAAAATTCTGCAATAAAATTGAATTTTGTAATGAAACGTAGTAGTTAGTAAATATATGACAGCGGTTACTAACAAAAGACTTCCAACGTAATGCTCTAGAAATGCATGCATAGATCTGAAAGTTTCACATGTACAAAGTCATTACACAGAACTGCAGTAACACAGTAAGAAATAGTAAATAGAATATTATTTTCAGTAGACAAGTCAACACGCTCCTATATGTTTTTTTTTTTAATTGGGTTTTTTTTTGTTTGTTTGTTTTGCCTTTTTTTTTTTTATTTAAATCCTCATGGAACATAAAAGGAAGAACCTGAATCTGATGGTTCTTTATTTATAAATACTAATCCATCCAAGAAGTGCACCCATATATCCACACTTAAGACATTTAACATCTTGCTGAAAGGTATATATTGATTTTAAAATACTGACAGCCTTCTGACTTTTGTATTTATATTTCAACAAATTATCTACTGCCTGGTATGCCTACTCTTCCTTCTGTCATAGCAAATTAATGGTGGCCTTTGGTAGCTTTACAAAGAACTGTTCAGCACGATCCTGAATGAAAGAAGATTTCTTCAGCCCTAACTGATGCGGGGAACCAGTAAGTGATGCAGAGATATTATGTGGCATGACTGAAATATACAAAGTTATAATCACCCGGATAAAGCTTCTAGAAGTGGCTAAAGATTTCTGGACATATGACTGCTGTTTGTTGTTACATGGATAAAATATGGAATGCAACCTCAAAACATTCATTATTTATTTGCAAGTCCAAACCCAAAGTATTAAAAAGTTATAGGGAGAGCAGCACACCTCTGTAGCACTCTTCGCAAGTATTGCCATCCTTACTATGGACAAGGAGGTAGAGTCCCCCTGCTAGACATATCTAATGTTCACAATAATCTGCTTTGGTTAATAAAAAAAAAATATAGAATAGAAGAATCTAGTACTGGTCCTCATTAGCAATTAACAATTTCTGTTCTGTTTTTCAAATACTTGCTATACTGAACTCTAAGCAAGTAGCCAAACTTCTTCCCATATTGTGCAGTATTCTTATTCTGTGCCACTGTTTCCTAGATTATTATCAAAGAGAAAGGTGGGAAGAACATTATGAAAATATCAAAATTAAACTTTTTAGAGAAAGTATTTTTTTTAACTGGCTTGAAAAAATTACTACGTATCAACAGCTCTGTAATGACATGCCCCTTTAGGCTACCATTTGCCTTTATAATCCAAAGCCGCCTCTTTTTTTCCCCACAAGGTGTAGACCAGTACCTGTTTGTACGTTCAAATTTACCTGTCCAAAAAAAGCATAGTCTACAACACAGAATTTTGAGCAATGAAACATAAAGGTTTAGACAAAATACAGCACTGAACTGCAGTACCAGACTTCTTGGCTCTTACTCCTAAGCACTGAAGGCTCCAGTACTTGTCAGAAGCCTAAATTATGCAAATCAACTGGTTCTTCACTGAAGATCAGCTCTGACAATGTCCAGTTGGTCTGTAAGGCAGACCACAGCAAGACAACCCAGCCACAGCTCAGGAAATACATCATGCTAATTAAGGTGACCTTTCAACAAACTATTTCAAGATATAAAATCTAACAGATGTAGTTGTCAAAAGGGGGTATGATGTAAAAAGTAGACTTCCCTAAAAATTCCTCAGTGAGTTACAGGAAGTTATTCAATACACTTTCAATGCTTCTGTACAACTCTGTGATGACAGAGTCCTTTCATTAGAAATCAACTTTCAAGTTGGAGTTAAGTGATTCTGATGCATAAGGAACTAACTACATTGGACACCTTTTAAACCAGCTTTTCCACACAAGCATTACTAATATGAAACCTACTCCAGATGATCCAGAGGGTGGGGAGTGTAGGAATAAAGTTCCTACCTTCTCCTTTCATCTAAGTTATTGCTTCTGGTGCATACCCCTTCTGCATATTTCATGATGTGGCATAATTCCAGTGAATGTGATAACTTGGTTAACCTGGACAATTCTATTTTCTGGAAGGACAGCATATACCTCTATGGCAAAACCACGCAGAAATTCTCTTTTCATGCCAACCAGTCCTCTTCTCTTTGGGAGTCAGAATACCTTCACAGTAGTGGTGAGAAACAAAATACTGCTTCCTCCTCTGGACTTAATTATATAATTTTAACATTGTACCTTTCTCTAATTACTTGTTGCATGAAACTTCTTTTGAGATGACCACCAGTTCTTCCACGATATGGGCAATCAAATGTCTTCAGATTTGTGTACTACTTCTGTAACTGAAATTTTCTTTTCAAAATTTAGCATTCATTGTGTCTCTGGTATGCAAATAGTATTAACATTTGTCTGAAAATTATTATTATATGAAATCTACCTTCTGCTGTACAAGTCATTAAAAATCCCATTAAAAAGTATTATGGTGTTTTGGGGTTTTAAAATGTCTTAGCTTTCTTTTTGTGCAAATCTTGGATGATTTGCTAAAAATAGTTTAAAAACTCCTTAGTGATAGGATGAAAATAATCCAGGTGCTTTAGAGAATTCAGATCATGCCAGATAGTCTGACAGAAAACCAGCTGCTCTACAGCTACATAGTAAACATCATCCTTATTTAGAGAGCACTATTTTCCTACTGAAGAAATCCTTTATTCTCTTATGTGTAACTGCTACTTAAAAGCCACACCAAATTGTTTCACTGACGTCAAAAATACAGAATTACAAGTCAGCTTATTCTGTTTTTTTCCCTGGCTAAAAATATAGCTTTCAAAACATTCACCATGAAAATGGAAACTTTCCAAGGTTAACAGAAGTCAAACTTGTCAGTGGAAACTGGCCAAGAAACAAAATGCATCTTGTAAACAAAAATGAAATCTTTTTCATACTACGAATTTGCACTCTTGGTTTGTTGTAATGATGGTAACATGACATGAGGAAGTCTTGAGCTGTATTTCTGGCTCTTCTATTGGGAAGAGAATAGGTTGCCTGCAGACTTCAGAAAACATCCCACATTATAATGTTTTAAGAACCAACTCATGTCAGTTATTGGGGAAGAAAGGAAACAGGAGAAATCATGTAAGTTTGGCTGGGTTTGGGGCAGGAGGAAAGGCTTGTTTATTTCTATGAATTCAGAGATTAATTAAACTTGGAAAGTACTTTGGTGAAGTTTAACCCATAGGAGAGATTGAAAACTGAATTAAGCAGTAATAGAGATCTCTCAGAGGCCAAATATAAAATGCCAAGGAAGACTAACTCCCCACCATATCAATTGCACGCTGAAAAAAAAAAAAACCACAACCAAAACAGTGATCCTAAGTGCAGTATCATTCTGTCAACTCCCACACAAACTGCATCAAGAAGCAAGGTACCTCCTATTCAAATGTGTGGTTGTATACTAGAAAATGTTCAACTGAAATCTAAAAGGGAGAGAAAAATATTATACAAACCAAAAGGCTAACAGTGCAGCCAATCTTTTTGCCGTCTACTTCTCCCATTTTCATGCAGTCCCTAAAACAGAAAGTGATGGAAGTCAAAAGGAATGACATTTATCCTCTTATTGTGAAGCACACCTCAGAAAACAGACGTATTTGGTTCAGCAAGCTGACTGAAATGATGCAACGCAAAGATATTTGGGTGAACAGCTGACATGGGTGTGTAAAGGATTTCATGCCTCCTTTTCTAGGACATGGAATACCTCAATCATCAAGAAATTCAATGTTTCTTTCTGGCTGTCATTGATTTGCTAGGTGTCTGCTGGAGACCATTTGTTTTCTTCATACCTTGTGCTTAAATCACGCCAGCAGAAGCCAGCATGGCTGCCAGAAGAGGCAGTCCCGCTCCCTTTGTGCTCTCAGGCACTCATTCCCAGTCCTGCACCAACCTCAGGAAGAGACATGGGTTAGGCAGCATCTTTTGCCGAGTTAGTTATAGCACACGTGAGTCAGATCACCAAAGTGCAGCGCAAGCACTTGTGTTGGGACAAGGAAGAGAGTGATGTGAATGAGGGAATGAGCAGGGATGAGTCTGCTTTCTTCAGAGACAGCCTACACCTAAACTGGTCATGAATTAACAGCATTAGTTCCTCCTCTGTGAAAAAAACAGAATGACACTGACCTCCTCTGTAAAATGCTCAAAGATCTACCAAATTTTCCTCAGCACCACTTTATAATTTAGTATCATTTATTATTTAGGGAGGCAACAAATCTGATCCCCAAGTTAAAATGGAACCACACAGAAGTTGATTATCACAAAGGGAAAAATAGTGTCAGTATAAGCATACTGGAGTAAAAAAAAATAACAGCCAGACATCACCATGCCATCACTAAAAGAAATTTAATGCAATTTTAAAACATTCTTGCATACATGAGCTAAACAATCGTCCCAAATACTCATAACCAACAGTATGCACAATTGTTTTGAAAGATGTTGGATTGAGTGTCCTGGAGGTTGTAATCCTACCAATGCCTGAAGAGGAGAAGCACTGCCAGGTTTCTAGGATTTAAGAATTCAGTCTCTTTGTTGCCAAAATAGCTTTCCTTTCAAACTATGAGTGAGGATGGCAAGTGGAGTACCAGGTCCTACCATCTGCCCCCCAAGGAACTGGGGGAAAAACTAACACTTAAGCTTTACAAAGTGTTCCAGCTGATGGCAATAAGGAAGGCTAAACTGGAATCTGAAGGTTCTACATGGCCTTCACAAGTGACTGAGAAAATCCCTTTTAGTCTCCAACTCCTAAAAGGGAGTATACGTCTCCTATTTCCCTCTCCCTTGCTCATGTGGTACAGTCAGATGCAAGCTTCTCACCCAGAGATCGTAGCTTTGTATACATACATGTCAGCCTACTGTGCTGGCTGACACTACAACTAAGCATGATTGACACAGTGATAAGAGTTTTACATACTCTGTAAAACAACTGTCAGATGATTAGTATTGAGCTGTGTGTCTTCAGACAGACTTGAGTCACTAACCTACTACCAAAAGTTCCTATATTCCTTGATAGGAAACTCATGCAAGCCATTGGATTTTCATACCATGGGGAGGCTCCTCAGCTGGTTTTCAGCCAGCTTGTCTCAACTTCCTACTGACCAATCAGCTGTGTCAGAGATCCTGATCACATACAGTTGTTGTGCCCATTTGCAGTCACTGTTTATGCAAGAATGCCATATTTGCCTCATAATATTTTGAAGATGACAATTCTACTTATAAATGGTGACAATCACTCACCTGTAGTCCAGTAACCTCTCCATGAGGCGAGTTACAGTGGCAATTAATGAAACGCCACTTTCCCTCCATGTTTCCCGCTCAATTTTCTTCAGTAGACTGAAAAAAACAGAAGCCAGAACAATTTCATCGTTTATTTTTAACTGTCACTATGACAACCACTCTGCTTTTACCAGCACCTTAATACCTTAGCAACATCTTTGATAGTTAGGTTTTCTTTTACAAACACCCTCCCAAGAAGCACAATTTGCAAACAATGTCTTACCTAGGATAAGGACCAAAAAGTGGAATTCTAGTCCAGGAAGCAATAACAAAACAAATGATTTTTATATTAGCTGCATCAGGTTAAAATATATCAAATACCTAATTTTCAGAATATATTAATATCCCAAAGAATGAACAGAACTCTTGAATAAAATTTATATATATCATGCTGTTACATCAGAAAAGGAGGAGTTTGAAGATGTACCCAGAAAAGAATACTTATCAACACAATATACCTTCTCATTTGGACCTCAACTTTTTTTACAAAGATTTTTCCTCCTCTCCTCTTTAATATTTTAGTATGCATGAAATTTAAGAATGGGGAAGAGATTTTAATGAGATGATTCCCTCTCTTCACTTAGTATTTCCTTCTGAGAACATACTATCATGCACATGTAGAATTCCATTAGCTTAAATTTCCATAGGATTCTTTATTAAAAACTGTTGTGTTTAGTTCTTACATTAATATAAATGCAGATTACAGACTGAAGTGAAAAGATTTCAAAATGGTGTAAGTGGAGCTGTCAGTAAAATTATACTTAATATGTCTTTCTGTTACAGGCCTCTGATTTTCACTGCTTAAGTTTATCAAATATTAATCAGTTGGGCATGAACCTCCAACATTTTCTCTCTGAGAATGAACAAGGAAATATTTATCTACAGATTTGTGTTACTTTTATGCTTGGTGCAGGACCTCAGATGGATGACACATCCATAGAGATCGTTTAGCAGTCTCCCTGAAAATGCACACAGGTATGGTTTACTCAGAAGTCTCCGAAAATTGCCACAGCCATATACTCGGATCTTTTTAGAGAGTTGTTAATAGCATCTCCGAACCTTCTGTCTGCAGTGGGCAAGCTGTCAGCTCCACTGACCTTCATCTACACTGAGCATGTTCAGTCCCATAAAACTCCTACGTTCCAATTTCACCGAACATATAACAGCACCCAATAACTCCTACATGCCAACTGCACTAGCTATACACTTCAGCTCTGTTCAGCTCCTTACGTACAGACGGATGTCTCAGATGCAATTCTCCAAAGTAATTCGACCTAAATGAAGCTGTGCGCTGCTGGAAGCAAGGAGGAAACACTGATCTTCATTCTGCACCCCTGTATTGATCTCAGACTCACTTCTCTTTAGGCAGCAATCAGATGTCTTTCCCTCACATTCAGAGAGTGGCTACCTGTCATTGCTAGCAGAGGCAGGTGACAAGGCCTTCCTTAACTGGAAAAGGCTGAAGCACTAATCTGGCATCTCTACTTTCCATATAGAATACAGAGGCTAACATAATTTCCTTTTAAACCCCTTATGTTCCTTTCAGTACAAGTTTTTGTGTCTAACAAGAAATAAGAGTAGAGTCTGTTATACTATTAAGCACTGATTAATTCACTGATTTTTCCTTTCTATTACCTTTCAACTCGGTGTTAAACAGGAACATTTCAACCTAAATTCATCAAAATAATTACCCACAGTTCCTGTAAAAAAGCAGCAGAAGTCTGACTTCTCTTTAAAAACAGATGGTTTTCATCTGTATTTGACTTATGCATGTTCTTTATAAATGTACTGGCATATTCATTATAAATACACAGTTTCTACAAATGAGTTGTGTAGATACATTCAAAGTACTTATTCAAACTGCCATCAGTGTCGTCAGTTGAACAATTTTATGACTTGCCTTCTGACGCATGCCTCCCCTTCTCTACCATACATCTTTCACCACAATGCACAGAACACTCAGAATGAAAGAGCTACTCAAATATACCCCTTGGCTTCCTCATCACTATATCTACATAAAATTAAATTCTTTTGTTACTTGCAGGTCCCAAAGCACAGCCAAGATGTTATGTTCTACAAAGCACTAAGGGGGATAAGCAACACAGAGGAACAATGAAAAGCATGCCTTATCCTTGCTACTACTGCCTAACATCAGGGCTCACCTGAATAGTTGTGGGTCTTTGGTTTTTTTTAATCTTGGTTTTCCAAGAATAAGAGTGGAGTTGGGACCCACAGGATCAGAGGTCTCCAAGGAATAACACCAGGCTTAGAACCATGTTCAGGTTAGCGCAACCACGTAGTAAGTGGATTTATACGTGCCTAAGCCACAGAGTTATTCAGACCACTAACAGGCATCTAATCCTAGAAGTGCCTTAAAAAATCTGGATGTCTATTTTGGAGTACAGAGCTCCCCAGGTACCTCACTGTAGTGAGAGGTTCCCTTATCTGGCCAGGTGGGTCAAAGTCAAACACTGCTGCAAAAGTTCAGTCATCATTGAGGAGCTACCCAAACCCCACGAAAATATTAAGAAGGGCTCTGAAAGACTCAGTCCAGTCAGTCTAACGGACTGGGCTAAGAGTCAGAGTCTAATGGACTGAATTCAGTCATACAACTGAGGGAAGAAATTTAGACGACTGAAGACAGCATGGGAGAGGTAGCAGGCACCACTTTTTATACAATAGCTTTATGGCTGGAGGAATCACGCATGAACTGGCAAAGCTTGGTATTAAATGCGTGCTCAGCTTGAATGTCAGCTTCAATTTCTTCAAAAAGCCTCATCATCAGCTCCCTAGCCCAGGTTTTGTGCTTCAATAATGTGGCCACATAACCTCCAAACCTGATACAGCTTGTGTTAGGCCAAACTGGAATACAGCTACAGCCGTCATACACTGGCAGCATCCATCAGATTCAGGGCAAAAGAGCTAGTTGAGTACATCCTTTGGCTTCCAAGGATTTTGTTCTAACCACCAACTGTTTAATAAGGCAAAATAATTCTTTTCCCTGTGCTAATTAACTCAGGAATTCAACTGCAGTGTTACAGTGCAAATGCACTGGACACCTTTCATACCGAGATTACACTGGATAGTAATTACAAAATCTAGGTTCTCATGATAGCAAAGTGTTCACTGCTCCATGCTTTACAGCTCTTCAAATGAATGCAGGAACTAATCACTGAGTGGTCACATTCAAGCCTCTAGAAAGACATTGATTCAAAACAAACAGCAGTCATCTTCCCCCTGTTTTAACTATGTTTTTAATTTGATAAAGGTAATTCCATAATAAGAGATGCCTATAATTTGTCCTTGAAAACACAAGATCTTAAAAGGAAAGATACAGTGAATGTCTCTGGAAAAATAGCAGTTAATGTGGAAGTGAGAGATTTAAATTCATTTTCCAATTCAGACAATATAAACAAAAAGCATGACAAAACCCAACGGTGTCACACCCACTGCAGTTACCAGACTGTATCCAGTGTAGGTGTGCGCATCCCCAACTGTACCTGTCAAAACCAACCACGCTGAATCTTCAGAAAGATAGATAAAATCGCAGCATTATCTTTCATAAAAGACTACAGAACCACTGCTTCTTCAAAATTACATTAATGTTTCACTGTCCCTGGGGACATACCACATCTCTGGCACTTCAGCCTAAACAAGTCTGCTTTCTTGCACCCTCTAAACACACTCTGATATTGCTTAGTTTAAATTACACATGGAAGAAATAAATTAAAAAAAAAAAAAAGACAAGACACCTCAGGCTACCTGACCCCGTCCCTTGCATTCAGCTCCCTAAATTGTGCATCTAATTTTAACCATTTTCCTTCACATACCCTAGGGCACAGTCATCCTCCATTTTAGATTAGTATGTTCTGCAAGCTCTCCTCCGGAGAGGTATTAATGCATGGAGTCAAATCAAACTTTGATAAAAAACTAATAAGAAACACTATTTTTTCTTAAGCTGAAAGCAAACTTAAGCAGTTACTCAGAAATTTCCCAAAGAGTTCAGTTTTAACTTCTGTCAGACCAGAACAGAAACAAGGATACTGATACTGTGAGACATTTTGCAATTTAAATTACAACTATGTATTCAGCAGTTAGATTTATAAAAGGTTCTCACCATTTTTGACTGTATCTTGTTTAACATCTCCCAGTTTAAATCTAACTCAAAATTGTAAAAAAATTAGGAACTACATTTCATACCAATATACTTTCTTACGTAATTTGAAATTATTTCAGTGACACACATTCTGATGTATTTTGCATATGACAGTGCATTTAGACTTCAGTTTATAATTAAAGATTTTCCCTTAATGAGTTAATTTTGAAGTTGGAATACTGTGTTACTAAAATATTGAAATCATCTTCTCTTTTCTTAACTCAGATTATGAAAAATTTCATAAGTAATTACAAGAAAGTTCTGCTTTAGCATACTGTACTGTTGATTACCATTATTCATCCATTTCCATAATATTCTGCCTAATCTCTCTACCCACTTCTGCTTCTGTAAATTATAAATATTCAGGAAGCCAATTGTTTTTCAACTCAGTACAATTACAGATTAGTATGTTTGCTATTCACAGACACTGAGATCTGAATGTGATTTAAGCAGAGACAACAGAGCTAAAACTAATACTGAAAGAAGGAGGAATGGTTAAGAAGCCTTATAAACAGCAAAATATCATGTGTTTATAGTACTGAAGAATACACAGCTTGGAATCCTGAAGAGGAGCAATACAACTCCTACTAAATACACTAGAAATAAATGAAATCTTCCACTTAGGTGGGACTGAGTTCTGAGGAACAACAGAGACAGAGTTCTGTTAGTTATTTTGTACCTGTACCCTGTGACAATCATTTATTACAGTCAATGGGAAAAATTATGGGCAACCTCAGGAACTTCAGCATTATTATTAGCTTTTTCTATTAGATTTAAAGTGATACGTCATTTGTTAAAATATATTAAAAGCTTAACAAGAAATTCATAAAAGAAAACAATAAGAAATAATCTTATCAGAATAAAGAAAATTGTATACATCAATCAAGAAATCAACAAGTGACATTACATAGATGAGTACAAGTTTCCAGCAATAGAAAATTACTTATTAAACAGCTTTTTGTTGAATTCCCATGCCTTGTTTTCAAAATGCTCCATTTGAGCTCTACCTGCACTCTATGCAATTATGAACCATTTCTTGTTTTTCTGATTTTAAATTTAGTATGTAGAAGAAGAATTTTCTGAGCTATAACAGATTTAGCCATGCCCAATTATAGCTGTATGCAGGAAGTACAGCCAGACTTTGCAGATGCCATAAAACACCGTAAAATGTTTTATTCCTCAGATTTTCAGGACAAAACCCCAAATCAGATTCACAACTGTATTAAGCATTCCTTCCCGACAATGACATTAGCATTGATCCAACCAACTGAACTCCGAGAATCAGTGTAAGATAAACATACTACTCACATACTGTTGAAGAGCTCTCGGTATGTTTCGTCACCTTTACCTTCCGACATCAGGCTGTCCAGTTTGTCAATCAGTTTTGCTTCCACCTGCAACATATAAGTGTGGTGTAAACAGCTTCTTTTTCCTTTAATGAGATTAGAGAAAATTGAGGGAAGATTTGGTTTTATGTAAGGGACTTTGCCAAATGCAGGTCTTAGAATTATTGGTCAATCATGTAAATCTGCTGATAAGTCACTTCATCCTTTCGAAGCTGTTATCATTCCTAAGGTTTGTGGGGTTTTCTTTTTTTGGTGTGGTGTGGTTTTTTTTTTTTTTGAGGGAGGGAGCCAATTTAAATTGAGCAACGTGACTTTAAAACTACAGGCTGAGTAGCATTTGCTGCTGCTAAGGCAGCTATCTATTTATGGAGTCAGACAAAAAGCACACAGCCTAAATAAATTGCCTGAATTCTCACTGCAGGGCTGTAAGCACAAGCCATTTTCTTAGACTTCAATAAAAATATCATCTTTTCTGACCTGCACCTCACTCTTCATAAATTAATTTTTATAAATGTCTGTACTGCTCAGAATACTTGGGGGCTCAGACTTACTTTCCCAACCTGCCTTACCTGCCAGCATATTTGGTTAGAAGTCACATTTGCTGGATTTACGTATTAGCTATCAAAGACACTTACAGAACATATCTGGTGGTTAATGATTCCTTCAATGCATATTTTTAAGTGTATTGATTATAAAAAATATAGAGGCGAGGTTACACTGTGTGTTAATATTTCAAACCGTTTTAGCAGTAATACATTAGCAACCACAAATCTAGGGAAGAAACCAAGCTGTTGTCAAGATATTTTATTAGTGAATAAATCTATTACAATTTACATTTAAACCCAAGCTGAAAACACACAAGAAGCAGAAGTAGTGGATTTTTTCCTTCTCACTCCTTGTTAACATTTCTATGGTGATTTTTAACAAAAAGCTTATATGTTGACAGTGAAAACCTACCTACTTACATCACATGCACTCCTCTGTTCTTAATAGTTTGTTTTGTGTTCAGATACAGCTCCCACCCTAAGCATTATGATTGCCTGGGAGTAATTCAAATCCTTCTGCTTTCCTTCATTTGAAGCAGCAGGAAGGAGGGCACTGAGAAATGGTTGGAGGCAGTCTGAAAGAACTGAGTAGGAGCTGAGGGAGCAGATGGCACTTGGTCGCTCCTTCCTAGCCAGTTAGGAAGGTGTTTGAGCAGTAAAGAATACTTGGATCCTTACAGAAGAACATTCCTCAGAAGGACCATCTGATCTTTCTTCCTCCTAACTGGAAGGGAAGCTAGTTGAATCCTCTCTAACCGGTAGTCTGCACTGCAGTAAAGCAGAGATGAAATACCACCACAACAAAATCCATCTTGTTGAAAGACATCTCAAGTTTTATTCTTCCCTTCAGCCGGACGTGGATTTTATCCCTCATCTTACATTACTACCATGATAGCATTAACTGGAGAACCTCGCTACCCCTGCAGAGAGTCAAAAGGGAAAACACTGGTAATCCCTCTCCAACAGGTATAATGTTGTGGCTGCCTTCTCCACCCTGAACCACCAATGGTTGGGACCAGCACTCTCTGAAGGGCTTGAATTTCAGTCCTGCTTTATAAACAGCTTCACATACACTACCTGTTTAAAGTTGCCACTTCGCCTTTGCTCCCAGTCCATCATGTCATGGAAAATGGGAATCATTACATTCCTCAGGTCTGGCTGAGGGATCAAGGTCACTTCCAGGAAGGGGCCAATCAATGCTGGAATAAAGTGAAGCTTGTGTTCCCCTAAAATGAGAACAAACGTGAACTTGAATGTGAATTGTGTGTCCTGTGAGCTATCAAACAATCCAAATACTACCTGAAGAATTAAAAAATAACTCTAAATGTCTATAGATTTTTATCTCATGTCGATCACAGTATGGGCTATGTCTTAAACCCAAAAAAGTGCAGAGAAAAGCCGTAGGCAATAAAAGAATATAAGGCCGACATAATTTATCAGATTTTATTATTCAATAGTGAGTTCAGAAGTGACAGTGGGTTATCTGTACCGCATGTTAGTCTTCCAGCAGCAGAACAAAAGAAAGACAAAGACCTCTCTGAGCATTTAATTTATTTTTCACAGGAATGGTTTGGTTTATAAGCTCTGTAATCTTGTGTCTACAAAATGGTTAACTGTCTCATATCATATGCTCATCAAAAAAAGGTAAGTACTTTGATTTTTACATATCTTTAGTTTTGTTGAGGACAGAAATGGAAGTACATGTTTTGACTGCAGGAAAGGAAAGGAAGATGTGACTCAGCTGTTGTCAAAACAACTCGCTTTAAAATCAGTGCTAAAACATCTTCCATTAACTCACCATATTCTACTTAGCATTAAGCTCTCGTCAGGAAAGCTAGAAATGGCACACAGTAAAGATTGACTCTTTAGTTTCAGTTCTGCAGGCATAAGACTTCTGACATCTTCACAATAAGTGGATTATGAATCATGACGCACAGACTTTTCCAAGCTGGGAATTCATTTCCATCCCAGCCTACCTCTGGATATTACAGTGGGCAGTATAACCCCTGCTTGCTGCTCTGTGCTTATGCAAAGGAAATCCAGAATTCCCTCTGCTGGAAATATCCTGGCATGCACATCCATACAAAAGCAAGGTGACTGTACAAGGATCAAGGCCTGTGATGACAACTGTAAAACGCTAAGTAGCATAAGACAAACTATATGAAAAATCCTGACTACAGTATTTAGTTGGACACATTACCACATGAACTCCATTTGTACCCCACAGAATTTGCCCCTGTTGGAAGGCATCATGATTCCCTCCTTGCCTGCATAGTGGGTTTCCATTCAGCAGAAAACAATGGGAATGGGGAGATGAAGCACACTAAGGTCTTAGCATGCAGGAAAGAGATGGGATGCAGGAGTGGTTCCCATGATATACCAGTTTAGAAATACCCATCATGTATACAAATAATGTAGATGGATGCTTTAGAGTGAGTAACCAATACTAAATGCTGTAAATAAGTAAAGTATGCTACACACAAATGTTACCAAGATGCTAATAAGAAAGTTTTTCTGATTTTGAACATTGCTTTTTCTAGTACAGGCTGATCAGAAAGACCAGTTTTTTACAACTACATATTTTGCTGGGGACAAGATTTATAAAATTGAGATGACAGTATCTGAGTAACCACCAGTGGTCTTCATATCTTTAACGAGCCCTTTAATGAAATGAATTATTGAATAACTGAAATATAAAGATGACAAATGTAGTGTCCAAATCTACTCATCTTTGATTTTCTTCCCAAACAATATTTAATTGCATTTCTCTGAGGCTCATATTTTCAAACAGTTTGCACAGTTATTACTTCTAAATATAAAAAAGTTCCTAAGTTTATATCCAAGCATATATTTTATATATTTTCTTGTGTTGTCCAACGTGTCATTTATACATCAGTCATGCATTCATTTATGTCTTTATATTTTAGCACAACTAGGACTTAGGGGAAGATTTGATGCAAATCCAGCATCTCAAGAGAGCTTAAGAATTAAGATATATGTCTGTTGCTTAAACTGTTTGGCAACAGAACTAAAATTGTGAACATAACTCTATTTCCAGGCATAATAATTCTGCCCCAAAAGAGCAGTACTTTCTTTTCTAATTTTTTGATGGTATACTTTCAGTTATATTTGAAGAAATAGGGACAGGTCAGATACAGTATCAAGGCTTAGAAAGCTGAATTTGGCAATAAAGAAGACAACTACAGATGAGTAGGGTTCTCCTAAATTTCAGTCAAGAATTCATGTGAACTTATCAACTCTTCTATCACTGGCAAGTGTATTTAATAGGTGAAGAAATAATAATTGTTTTTAATTTTATCAGCTCCTACTGATGTGTTTCATTACTTACCTAAATTTTGCCACATGCTGAAGATTTCACATCCCATTGTTACCCGCATGTCACCATATCTGCCGTGCATTAAAAAAAAAATAGCAAAACAGTGGAAGATCATTTAAGAAAATCAAGTTCATATGTCATTCTGTGACACTGTTAAATGAAATGACTCATTTTTAGTCCATAAAAACTACTTTAAAAGTGACTATTTCTTCCAAGTTTTTGCTCTTTACATTGTACCCAGCTAAAACCAGACTCCTAACCCCAGGTTCATTTGCTGTATTGTCAAAAGTATCAGTTCTTTCTAAATGCTATATATCAGTAACACAGCTGTAAAGCAAAAGTGGGGTTTTTTGCAGTAATATGCTGTCCTTCTCTCTCTGAGAACAAATAGTTTTGCTCTATCTTAAATAAATACAATTAATTCATACAGACAACAGTGCAGGGCCGGGCAGAAAGACCTGAACCAGTGTGAATGGACTTATGCGTGAACTGGAAATCAGTGTTGGCACTGTTACAACACAGCTATTTTGCTCCCAATATCTGACCCAATTTGGGCACTTCTACAAAGGCTGCTATCAGCTCTGAAGACCTATACGAAGGGCCAGAGCCAACTCTCATTCTAGTCAGTGTAAACAGTGGTACAGTTATCTTTGTGGTACGGCCTTTCTGCAACCTCCCATGCCTTGCATTTTGAGAACTGTTTGATCTATTACAGTTTTCTAGAAGCTGACAGCAGTACTTACTTTTCTAAAACCTTTTTCTTCTTGGAAGGTGTGAACATCTCTAGTTGTAGACATAGCTGGTTTATAAAAATGACAGCAAGAAAAAAGTAGGAATCCCATATCTACAATAAGCATATGGCATTTGGTTATTTCATTTTCTCAGTTCCACCATTTTATGACCATTTGCGATGCAAATTTTCAACTCACATCACTTATTTCAGTCTCAACTAATAAATTACTCAAACTGTTTTTGACTAAATTTCTTTGCAACCAAATATACTTTTCACCTACCCTAAAATTTTCAGCAGAAATACATCTATTTTACATATTCTACATCTCTTAAATGTAAAGGTTTCAAAGTTGCAGATAATTTTTTTTTTTCCATCCCTCCAAATCAGAAAAAGTTACCTTCTTAATCTGAAAACATTTTTTGGTCTATTTTTTAATTGAAGACTAAAACCAGTTATGTCTTTAAGTCCAAAACCCCAAAAGCTATCACATAACAGATTTGTCATTCTGAGGCCCGTCCTATTGTTTATTATTATTTGCAAGTCTCACTTGTTGCAGGCTTCACTGGACAAAAACAAAGTCGTCTGTATATTGCAAATATACAGAGGTTTTGTGCACATGCTTTATGAATCAGATGTTGAATCTTCTGCTTAGAAGATTTAAAGATAAATTTAAAATACATTAAAAATTATTATAACCCAATTATAGCTGCTCCATGGAAGGAGGAAGAAAGAAGTGTAGGGGGAGGCCTTTTCCAGACACTGCACTTCTGCAGAACAGTAATAACATTGATAAGCAAGTTTAATGAACATGGATGCCTTGTCTACAGGCAATTCTTTTATCAGCTTAGGCCTCTGAACTTGTGGAACTTCATAAAGGACAGGCTTCCTCATGTCCAGTTATGTCAGGAAGATAAATCTGTATTCCCACCAACTTTGCCAGCTGGAGTCTAGATTTTCAGTGAAGCACCCACAACTTCTTTAGGAAGGGAATTCTGCACTTTTTGTGATTAATCAATTGGACTAATGTCTCTTGGTTGGGCAGAATATTTGTTCAGGTTTCCATGGGAATGGGTCTTTTCAGATACATTCCAAGGTCTTCTTGTGTGAACCCTAAAAGCATCATTGTGTAATTCATGGTTTATCACAGGTGCCGTATCTCATTATATGAGGTACTCACTAACATCTTTAGCTATGTTCACCATGTAATTTTCTAATTTTAGTAATGCAGCATGTTAATTGATCTTGAGAGAAATTAGTGAAATGCAAAACTATATTTTTTATAAATTTGCATCCATTAGAAAATGAAATAATTTTTCTTTCTGCAATAATTCTAAAATAACATGCAACAATAAAATTAGTCTCTATAATCCAAAATATCCTATGCAAAATCCTGAATAAGTAGTCTAACATAGAGGCTGAAATAACAAAATGAAAAATAAGAAGAAATTAAAAAAACCCACAGTACTCCTGATTTTTAAGACAGTTCTGTATTTAAGAAAAAAACCATAATCTCTGAGCACTTGAAATTGCTGATTTAGTATATGATCTAGCTGTTTAGATGCTGGACCTAAGTTTAATAACAAACAATCAAGCCACAGGATGATATAGCAGCTATTGCATCTGTCTTATGTTAGACACATTTACTCTACCTTGTAATCAAAGTTTTCATTTAAGAAGTTTTTACGAAGGGCATCCGAAAGGTACAAAACTGTAGTAATGATCACACTGGGAAGAAAAGAATGAAAAAGACAGCAGTTTTCATTAAGTGGAAATTCATATTTAATACTCAGAGACAGACAATTTTCCAATGAAGAAGTAGATGTAGTATGTATGGTGGCATTAAATATTACATTTTAAACATATATAAATATCTGACTACTAACAGCACGTATTGACAGAACACATGCACATGAAGAAAAAATAAGAATACGTGCGATGAAAGAACGCGTGCTAAACCAGATCTTTGGTACAGAAGAATATAATTGGTCAAAAAGACAAACCATGAATTTTGTTCTGCAAGTAATTCTGATATAAGAATTTTGTCCTACTAGCAGTAATACATACAGTTGGGCAATTTGCTTTCAAGCTGTCTTGTTACTGAAAATACGTGCACATAGATTATAAATATATTTGCCAATATACAATACTTACAGCCCTATGGACAAAGAGTCTTTTTAATGACAAGAGAGAAATGCCAAATTGATGAGCTCTGCAGAAAGATCTGCTTCTAAAGATCTCTATTCTGTTTGTTGCAAATGATCATACACTGCCCTGTGTTGACACCTGCCTGAATAATATTAATCTATCTTGGATAAATATATATGACCAAAATCCTTTCACAGCGATTGTCACCAGAGGTCAATGACAGCCTTGTGCATTGTACCAAACAAGTCTGGTAATCTGAGGAAACAGAACATCCTTAAAGATTATTTAAGTGTAATTAATTTCAATGATTCAACCCTTAGGCTAACCTCTGCAGCACTCGAGTCTATCAACATATTTAGACAAAACCAAAAATCCACATAAACCATTACATTTTTTTGAAAGTAGTCAGTAGTGGATGCTTACGGGGGAGGAAAAAAGATAAACATAGAATGTTCTTTTCACTGTTACAGTCATCTATTTTACAACAGTCAACTGTTTAAAGACCTTTTGAGAAAAAGGTCGTATCTACACATTTCTCCTAATTACCATCTATCTGCTATTAATACATCTAGTACTACTCTGAACATGGTTCTTGACCTGTATGATGTTACAATGCTAAAATTTGTTTTCCTTTTCATACTTTGGACTTGATTTTTTACTATTTTTAGAATGCATTCAAGACAAAATGTTTTATTAAACATAATAGCAGCAATATATATATATTTCAAGGGTATAATGTTTTTCATCTTCACAATTCTGAAGAATTATACATTAACCAACCCACCTAGGAGACAAATTATATTTTTCTTCTGGCACTTTTGACAGATTTCAAGTTTATAAATACAAAATGGCTATGTATCATTTAGCTTATTACCACTTCTAATATTTCCTTCTATTTCTTTAGTTTTAAAATGACTGTCCCTGCCAAACTTTACCTTCTGGCTTGATGTGTCTGAACACCTGTAACAGCCAAGTCTGAGACTGTTTTTAGAACACTGCTTGAGTCTCAAATTTCATTCATTCCTAGTTCCAGTGCTTAAAGGGGATTGTCATACATTATTATTTTCTCAACAATTACACTGTAGCTTTTCTATCCAAGCAGTGCTCCATGGTTAGCACTCATCTGTACAGTTTACCCCACTTTTCCACCAACGGGGAGTTAGAGTGGGTGTACAGCACTCCCTGTTGCAGCATGGAAGACAAAGTGAAATGTTAACAAACTGTAATATAAGCAAAGCTAGGAATGAAGGCATGGATAAGAAAAAAAAGAAAGAATCCTATCATTCTTGTTACTGTACATGATTTAATTTACAACCCATATGTTTCACAAAATGGAAATCCTTTGCATATTTCAGAAAGTTGTTCTGACAGAACAGGTCAGTTCATCAGACCTAATGCTACGTAAAATTTCAAACGAGGTCCAAAGTAATAAAACCCTGAAAAAAGGTATGCAAGAGCAAATTCCAGATCTCAAAAACTGCAACCACATTGCCAAGTTTATGTTACACAGTTCTATTTTTGTCTGAGATAATTCCTTTCTTGCCACATTCCTTCCACGGCAGGTGAAACTGAAGAGAAAGATCTGCTTCAATTCTTACGAGGAGAAAATTAGCCTAGAAATCTCAAATACAATATTTAGAATTTTTTTTTTTCAGCATTCTCCTGAGGTAATAAAATAACATCAGTGCAAGTGTTTCTTGCTCTAGATAACGCAGCCCAGTTTTGATTTATTTGGTAAGCCAAAGATAGGAGATGGATTAGTGGATAAAATGTGAGTCTGTAAAGTACCCATATTGTACATTAAAAACTTCAAAAATGAACTTAGAAAGATGAAGCCAGTATCTTTGACTCATGAACTGAATCCACAAAAGAAACTAAAAACAGGTAGGACAGAAAACACTGGGGGTTCTCTTCATAATGTAGGTTCTATAAAAAAGGCCAAAATGCACAAAGCAGAAACAGCAGCCAGAGGACAGATGGACAGCTGACTGATCCAGTACAATATTCACATTCCAAGTTGCTTCCCAGCCAACAATTTCAAAACAACAACATCATTTATTTAAAATCCATTTGAGTATCAAACTAGAAAACATTGAGTTGATGACAAGACTTGCTTTTCTTCCTCTTAACCACCTGCCACAAACTTGTTCAGAACCACTGACTCTTTTACAGGGGAAAAAACTCTGCTTTGAGCTACTAAATTATTCTGGGTTCATACACAGAATGCTAACCCAAGGTTTAGACAGGGTATTTTTGGCAGAGTAGCTTTTCCACCAAATTTTCACAGCAAACCCTTTGGCAATAACCTGTTTCAAAAATCCAAATCAGCCCCGAGAAGTTCACCAACTGGTTTGCTGACTGGACTGTGCTCTGGCAACCTGGCTTTTGCCAATGGTAGAAGATGAAAGCTTTCTTTTTCCATTCTGAAATTCCCCATATGAAACGTCCCATATGGGAAAAATATGTAACATTAGCTTCCCATTTCATCTTTTGCTATTTCAGAGTGAATTTTTCCCAAGCACAGAGGTGTTTGAACAGAAACAGGTGTTCTCTCATACTTCATAAATAAATGAAATCAACCTAGAGTCACATATCTGTGTGTATATCTATTGGTTTCTGTACATAAACTTACGCATACATGCATACCTATACCTACAAAACGCTTTTTGTGACAGGCTGCAGGTCCAGTGCAGTTGTCAGCAACATTTTGTGTTACATAAAAGCAAGGACGTTGTTAGTAACACTGTGTATTACATAAAGGCAAGAATTTTTGTGCATTGTAGGAGTCTCAGACTCCTACACTATGGGAGCTAAAAGGATTCTACAGAGCAGCCATAATGAGGAAATTAATGCTAATTTGATGTCTTCCTTTACTGTATATTCCATTTAAGTCACTTTTTAAAAAACAAGAATGTCTTTCAGCCATTAATGAATCAGATAACCAAAGGTTTCTCTCTGCAAAGTCCCTATGTCCCACTGTCAGTAGCTATATTTGAAATTTTAGTATAAGCAACACACTGTAGTAAATCTCACTTTACAGATCAATTATTTTACTATAAATAATAATATTCATACATCCATTTTGTATGCTTATGAAATTCAAATTGAGAATTGTATGATCCAGCATCTCTGCCATTTAACAAACTGCTGAAAGGGTATGCATAGTTAATCACACAGAGCTCTTCAAAATTAAAGCTTCTTGCATACCAGGAGCAGTGGAAAATTAGTGCATTGTTCAATAATACATTGGCACAGTATGTTATGAATATCAAACCTTTGCTCAGCAAGTAATAGAAACTCACTTTGCTCTCCAACAGCATCCTCAATTGCTAATGAAACACGACATTACCTTGAGTTCAGCTGAGTCTGTTAAATGCTCTCAAAAGATTCCCGTCAATTAAAGCATTATCTAAATGATTCTTTTCCTAACCTTAGGGTACCTTAAGCAAGTGACCATTGCACAGTGATTTCCAGTTGAGAGAGACATTATGAAGGTGTTATCCAGAAGCTTCAGTTTTAGTCTAGCATATTTTATTACAGAATTCTGGATTCCTCTCTGGCGCTAGGCAACTGATGCAGACATCTTCCTATATTACGTGGGGTTCATTTGCAGTTACAAATAAAAGCTTTGTTTAGAGGGCCAGCAAGGTAACATATTGCAGAGCTGATGTAGAAAGTAAGTCTATCTTACAAATATCCCTATAATGAAAGAAATTAAAACTGTATTTTCCATAGTACAGATAAAAACATACTTAGTCACTCAGTAGTAACATCCATGTTGAAAACATTAGATAACCCTAAGCAATTATTTTGCTTTGCTGATGAGCTCACTACAGATATTACATGGCTGTGCAATTTTAAACAAAGTTAATTTCTGTCTCATTGCTTGACTGCTAGAAGCTAACAAACATTAGGGATTTTTTTTTTTGCATGCTCTTTTCCTTTCATCTCAGATGACAATTCAAGAAAACAATCTATTTCTCTGCTTTAGTGCTAAGTCTTCTTTTTTAAATGTTACTTTATTTCTCAAACTCAACTTGATAGTTTTATAATGATAGCCATTAATATTTTTTCATGTTGGGCATCCAGATATTCAGGATTACAGATCATGCATGCATCATCGTGAAATATCTTAATTTCTGAATAGTTACAGATTTCTGTTCTTAAACTCACAGTGTTTTCTGGGATTTTTTTTTTTTTTTAAATCCCAGGAAGCATCCAAGTATCCGATGCTACATAAAATTACTAAAAACACTGAAAAAAGAAAGAAAAAAAATCTAGAAGCCAGAGGGCAGCCATATTTTTATAAATAAATATTACATATTGAAAGAATTATGGCATTTAAAGACCTAAAAATCTTTCAGGTAATTGAAAGACTGAGTTCTGCATATATAAATAAGAGACTTTTTTTTTTTTTGCCCTCTCAGGAAAAGCATATTACCTGATTACAGCCTTGCTAGGACTCATTTGTTCCCTAGGCTCAGACAGGCTAACTCTCTCTTCCTGTAAATAAGACAGTTTGAATTTTCATATCACTCTAGGGACAAGGGAGGAAAAGACAGTGCTGCTGGTGATGTGACTGCAGTGATGGGTGAAGGCACACACTGCCTTCAGATTAGCTACCTTTCCTCAGGCTGACGCCCAGACAGCCAAGGCAGTGGCCACCTGACACAGGAAACATGACAGTCATTTCATTCCTGGGAAGCTGGAGTTAGAGAAGATCCGCACTGTTAATGGATTACTTGATTACGCTCTTAAAAAGATGGGTTGGGCCTAGTTTTTCCTTTTAATCATGAACAGTGGAGCAAGGAAGTCAAGAAGTTTTGCCTTCAATCCTGAAGAGGCTCAGACCATTGGAAGCGCTCGGGATCATGCAGTGAAGCTCAGGGAGAATGGCTCACAGCCGCTTCCGTCTGTGGTGCGGGCAGTGCCCCGCTTTCTCATCCTGCCTCCAGGCTCTTCCCTTTGCACTTAAAGATTTTGGGTTGGGATCATTCTAGGAAACTACTCCTCTGCGGCTCTGTGCTTTAGAACACACTGGGGAAAGCTGAGCAGAGGAGCCACTGCAATGGCAGCGGGGGACATGCGTGAAAAGGGAGGAGCGCCTGACCAGAAACAGCTCCAGAAAAGATGCGCTCTGCAACTGAGGCAAAGAACAGAAGTGGATTATCCTTTCTGCTGCCTCAAAAAGGAATGGAAACTAAGCTGTAGATGCATAATATAGGAATGTTGACTCTTCAGTTCACACCACACTATTAAGAACACCTGGCCAACCCCCTGTTTTATAGCAAACCAGCGTTCCCTCCACAAAGGAGGAACGGATGCCTAGCGAAGCAATTACTGAAGGCTGAATTGGTAAAGATGTGTTCCCATCCCACGTGCTGGCACAATGCTTATGCAAATTGCGGTTATCAGGTTCAGTTAGCCAATCTGATTGGCATTTCGTGGCCAAATCCCAGCAGTTATTGCCAACTTCTGCCTATGTACTTTGCATGACAGAAATGACCATACAGTCGCCTCCTAAATGGACAGAGGCAACGTCACATGGATTAATAAAAGGAGATGTGTGATGCTAACTAAGGTACTAGTGAAAATAAACATTCCTTTTGCAGAACTTAGTATCATCTTTAGCATATCAGAACACCACCAGCCTGAGAAACATGTGCCAAGGTCATTCCTAAATCTTCGTTTTGTATATGTCAGCTGCTGCAAAGCCATCTGCCAAGCCAGCTGTTTCTGGAATATATAACAATTTCTTAAATTATATATTTAGTCTAAAAGTTCCTATCTTTTTTCCCCTCTTTCCTGTATTTCTCTGTTTCTTAAGCATGATTACCAGGAGCAGGCTGGTATCAGCCATATCTTCTTTAATATCATACAAAGAAACAAATGACCATATCCATTCTTCGATTTTTTTTTTTTCCTGGAATTCAAACTTAGCAACACTATTCTAGATTTGCAACTAATTCAAGATTAGTAACAGTAGGTGAGGTAGTAAAAATGTGCAAAAAGTTTTTTTTTTCAAGTCATGACAAAGTTTGAACAAATACTATGATGCTTCTATATCCACACACACAAAACAAATATCTATCATGATCAAAAGTTTTGCCAAATTTAATTGTAACAATAATATGGTTACAAGTAGGCTGTAGAGCACCATGAATTTAAATTCTCCTTAGAGCCAGCAGGCCCAACACAGACTGAAAACTAATTTCCATTAGGCATTACAATACATAGCATGAAAGTTTAAGTCAATCCTAAATTCTGGATTCCTAGGGCTGCCCAACACAACCCCACTCCCCTACAGGCATTGGCTTTTATAATTGTGTTGACTGTTCATCTGGCTTATCTGATCTAAAGCTAAGCCTACAAAAAAGGATAGCTGGTGGCAGAGGTGAAATAAAATTCAATAGTTTCAGACTTGTCGTAATGACCTCAGAAACACTGGAAACCTGTTTCTCTAAAAATAAGACCTGAGCAGGGAAAGAATAGCTCAAAAGGCAGGCTATATCTTAGAGTATCACTAGGCAATGCTTAGAGCCCTAGGTTGCTGTTACCTGTGCTGTACCTCATTTCCTGATCTGTGATTTTTAATTTGTGATTTTTCTGACAAGCACTAAGTTAACAAACATGCAAAAACATCATTAATGATATAACAGCAGATAATTTCTCCTGTAGAGCAAGCAGATCTTTACTAACTCAGCATTTCAACGAACAGATTTGAAATGAAAGTTCTGTTGAGACTTGTCATTTGCTACTTGGAAAACAAAGCTGTTGATGCTTAGCATCTTCATTCTGTAAAAGTGTTTCTGGGTTTCTAGTTATATGTGCTTACTGAAATCCAAAATAGAAAGGGATACAGATTATATCATGAATTTGTTGTGCAAAATATGTCCAGAGATTTTAAATTTTAAATTAAAAAATGAAAAACTGCAGCCAGTGTTATAAAAGTTATTTTGAATTTTTATTACATATAATTATTTATTTACACCATGATCTTTGCACACTACCCATATTTGTTATTAACATTAAAAACGCCTTACTTGTTTGCAACCAAGCGCATCACTGTCCAGTCTTTTGGAAACATCTCAGGTCGTATTAGTATCCGAAATACAGTGAAAATCTGCAGCAGGAAATCCTTTGGAAGGAAAAGAAACAGTTGTATGTCTTTGCTGCTTTAAAATTATTTTAATCAGAGACAAAAAAGTCATTGTAGAAAGAGCAGAATCACATTTATTTTCAACATAGATACACCTCTGAATATTTTTCCTTTTTTTTTGATTCCCCAAGAAAGCTTCAAATGGTGATCTAATTCATTTTTCTTAAAAGGAGGAAAATAATTTAATGTGCCGTTTGATTGACAGCAATACATAAGAGAAATGTCAAAGATGCATTTGGTTTCCACCCATACACTTCCACAAATGCGATCCCGAGAACAATTTGCAAATCAAAAGAGCACATTATAAACACTACACAGTTCTGAATATCTCCTTAATCATGCCAGGTTTTCATCACTCTCAAGATTTATTCCAAGAGTGACATTACTTGGTGGGAAAGACAGAGTGCAAGTACAATTTTATCGCTAGGTTTGCAAAGACCAGTGAATTCAACAGTGATGCCCAGGCCCCTGAACTGTTATCGCAGCTGGCCATCTGTATGCAGGTCACTTAACCATTCTGCCTCATTTGCTGAATCTATAAAAATAGTGAACACATCTGAGCTACTCTGAACGTAGAAAGCACTGCTTAAGAGCTTTTAGCATTATCATCTCCTATGTCATTTAACACACTAATAAATAACTAAAACTATTCCCCCCACCACGTTTTTTCAGATTTTCTTTTCACAAACAAATCTACTAACAAGGGTAACATTTCTAATGGCACATCTTGATTATGTATAGTACTGCCAGTATTTTAGTAAGCAAATTGGAGCTTTTGACATCACAGAGGGGAAGAGGCAAGTCACGTAACACGCCTAACAGAATCAGTGCAGTACCTGACCTTGAAATCTCTTGTATTGATTATGCCCATACCACCTGTAGAGATTTAGCTCGGAACACAGATGAGATGAAGGTACAACCAAGGCATACCAAATAATTTTGAACATCAAAATATATTCTCAAGTGCATTTACCGAACTGTAGATGATGGGCATTGCACAACAGATGTCTTTCATTAGAGAATCACTGTAAAGGGGGACGAATGCAAGCGCTGGGAAAGGCAGCTGAGATCCCTGCACCCACCCACCAGAAAAGATTACATAAAAGAGACAACCTGTTTTTTGAGCAAGATGCCAAAAAAATCTTTGGATTAAAGAGTGTAAACGATACTCATTGCAGATAACATCATGTTTGAATGCAGGTGACCAGCTTTATAGATAAACAAGTAGCTCTACCAGCAACATTTACTCTAGACTGCCTTCCTATAGCTTTGCACCTTGTAGTTCAATTTCAAGACTTCTGCCTGCTCCTTTTTTTCTTTAGAGGTTACCTCCATTCCCTGTGCCGAAATCCCTGCAGCTCTGTGCCATAATCCCAACAACACAGCAACACCTCGAATGCTGCTGTATGTCACCTCACAATAATTCTCCCCTATCTCATTTTTATTCCGCCTGTTGTCCAGATACAATACACGTCGCTGATGTTAGGCAGTTAACCGACTGGCTGCTGAACTGCAGAGACCAAATGGCTGATGCTGGGAAACCAAGCAATGGTTTAAGGACTAAACCTAAAAGCTGCATAAGGTGTAACCTTAGTGCCGTTGAGACCCATGGGACACTGCCAAAGCCTGCTGAAATTCAACAGCTTGTTCAAAAGTCATAAAGAATGAGAGAGAGGAAGATCATATATACTTCATTTCTTCAGGTGACTAGGCTAAAACCAGAATGAATCTTTTATTCCAAGCAAACTTTAAAACAAAGCAAATGTAGATACTGGCATTACATTTTGAATCACTAACCTCAGGCTAATTATTCCTAATTTTAACAGAAAAATACAAAATTGTGTCATCAATTTAGTAATAAATGATATTGGATATAAAATGTGGATTTGAAAAGCCTAAGTAAGACCAAAGATCTCTTTGTTACAGTACATATTTAAAAAATGTAAACAAAATGCAGTATAATTCAAAGCTGAAGTATGACTGAAAGAGAACTCAAAAAAAAGTTTAGAAAAGCTAGTCAGTTTTAAGATTTTCAAGATGCAACTTTTAAGGTTCTATCAACACAATTAATCTGTATCTAACTTATTTTTCCTGATTCAGTTTTTGTATACTTGGCAATACATTTCCCTAGGAATCCATTCTAAGGATGGAAATAACCAAAGGGTAAAATGTCAGTTGACTATTCTGACATTTGCCATCAACGTGCTGGTATCCTTCATGTGTCAGCACTGCTCATCAATATGCAGTGCTGGTGCTCACTCCCAAGGGACCCACCTCCATGTAAGAATTCCATAAAATGTTTTGATCAGCATGACAATGCCTGGCATTTTGCATGTTGCAATCGCTTATTTTTGTTGCATGATCCAAACATCACATTATTATGAACTACCATTCATAGAAGATCAATTTTGTAACTATATTTTGAACTGTTTCCTTTGCTCTAAACTATTGTCTTTCATAGTTGAATCTGCTCTGCTGAACGCACATAATGATTTAGTAACAGATTTTAACATTTAAAAACCACTTTTGCCGGCAGTATAAGTGAACTAACATTTGGTTGGTTGAGTACAGATATAATTAATGTCTCATATGCTTTCTATCTTAACAGACAGCAAGGGAGTAATTATGTCTTTTTACATATTCTAAATACCACCTCTTAATATTCCTACCTAGTGTACAAAAGCTCCAGTACTATCTTATACCACTTGAATAATATCCCAGTATCACAGTTCAGTTTCCTCTAGCAGCAGTATTTGCTTGATGAAATTATCAAACTGTGATTGAGAAGCATGGCCTTCTGAAAGACTGAAAACCATCTATTTATTTAATCAAAAACTGCCTTGGAATTTCTTTCACACCTCCCTGTCTGCATGTAAAATCCCCTGTAAAGCAGGTCAGTTTCCACTCTATCTCTCAGGGTGCATCTATATTAGCATTTTAGTTCAGGTCAACAGCCACTTAGAAGTTAATTGCCTGATTACCCATTGCAGAATTATAGAGCTACTTGGTGTCAAGGCTTTGTGAAACATCCTAGAGCTTTTTTGCAGAGTGCCAAGGTGCCCATAAGAAAAAGAATAGTTTGACAGCGAGCGCTCTCTGCCAGGACAACTTATCCATCCTGTGTCCAACTACTTTCCCAGATCTTTTTTCCTGACTGCTTCCTCAACCTACATCAGAAGCCACCTAAATACTTTTTGTAGACCTACCCTGTGGCCCCAGTACCCATCCTTTCAAAAGTCCCATATGGGAGCACACGTCCCTGCACAGCAAGGGAAGGACAGTGGCTGGAACTGAGCTTCTCCACTGGAGACATGCCCCATGCCGATGGGCCCCACACAGCCTGTGTCAAGGGGTCATTAGAGAACAGTAGAATACACTGCACTTAGTGGTAAGGTTCAGCACCCACCTTACCCTGCTCAGGCTGGAAGAGAGGGATCAGAGAATTAGTTAAGGCTTAGGACCCATCCCCATGGTCTGTTCTACCACATTATGTAGGGTACACTGCCAATCCATAAAAACTAGGCCTTCTAGCAGATGCTTATCTGTTTGTTATGTCTTCTTTTAATCTATTAATTAAAAAGCCTACACATATCAACCACAACAACCTTGCCGTGGTCAAAGCTGCATTGTGATAACACGTACTGTTTTTCTTATTCACTTTCCCACTTCTCCTATTTATAACTTCCACTGCTACCTTTTGTCATAAATTATATCTGCGGCAGCAAATATCCGCCTACAGGGGCGCCTCTGTTCTATAAATTGATATAAAATATGTTTACTAGAAGAAGATGGCATTTTGTGGTAAGCAAAAGGAGCATATCTTTAAAACAATATTGAAAGATAAAAGGAAGCATTTAAAATTACTGCCTCATTAAATTTAATGTTCCAGAAAGTGACTGAAGTATAGTCTCTGGTGCTACCACTCAGCCATGAATCCCCTGTCATTTCTTTCTTACTTCATTCGCATATTTTCAAATATATAATGTTTTCCCTATCTTCTGCTTTGTGTGGAAAAAACCTGACTCTCTTAAAGAACGGACTAAAATAAAAATAGTCACCATGTCAATTACTTAAACAAAATATATTTACAGAAAGAGGAAATATTTCCATAAGCAACCCTTTGTTCAAAGCATCACTCAGATGCATGTCATATAAAAATGTGTACCCGTCATTCTTTCAAAGTCTCCATTTTGCTATACTGTGATTAACAAGCTGGAAACAGCCCTTAATTTTGGTAGAGACTGTTAAAAAAAAAAAATTAGAATTTTGATAGAATAAATGACAACCTTTGTTCCCTACTTCCAAGTACTTGCATGAGTGAATTTTTGTTTGGAGAAGTGGTTTGGTGGGGGTATTTTTTATTAGTGTCAAAAATGCAAATATGCATTCATGCAAGCACTTGACACGGTTGCTTTGAGAATTAGAGTGGAAGAAAGAAGAAATAACTTGTGATATCAGTGCCTAATCATTCAGTATAGGTGGTTAGTCATAGCAAAAAAAGCACAGCAGAGATCAATTCAAAGTCCTGGGTTACACTCAGGTAAGTCCCTTGCAAACCCCGTATCATATTTGTAACTTGCAGATCTGGGGAAGACCCAATCCATGTTGACATCACTGACCAGGAGGCAAAAAGAGGATTTAAAAATACAGCAACACGACAGGAGTTACCACTGAAGCTTAAATCCCAAAGTACATACTAGCCACAAAGATTAACTGTGGCTACCAGCAGTTCAGTCTCTAAAAGCATCTCAGGCACCAAAAAAAAAAAAAAAAAAAAAAAAAAAAAAAAAAAAAAAAGTCTTATCACAGATACTTACACCTTCTGAATCTTCATTTACTCATACTGATGTCATTTCCTAAGAAGCATATCTTAAAAGAGTATAAAATACCAAGAAAGTTCCACATTTGGCAAACAAAGAAAAAGAAAAATAGAGAGGGAAGTGGCAAGATGGTTTAAATAGCCCAAGTCATGCACAATCACCTCATGATTAACAGCAGTGTCAGCCTCACATACTAGCTCTCATCTTCCCCTCTTGCCCACAGTTATACACATTTCAGTGATATTTAAAATTTCCAAGTCAGGGAAAAAACCCAATATATTATTTAAGATTCAGAAGAGAAGGAATGCTGCATTAATTATGATTAACCTAATGCCACTGAATCACTGGTGGCGCTGATGCTGATTTGATGAGATCTGAACGGAAATAACAAACTCTGGACTTGAGCTCTTTAGATCTCTATTTTGATAGCGGATGGCACGGGCTACAGATGCTTTCCATATGTCTCTGTATAATAGTAGGGTATGTGCGTGGGGGGAATATAAATGTGTCAAATCAAACACCATTCAAGCATTAATTCTAGAGGTTTTTTATGTTCTAGAAGTAGGAAAGTCTGAATAAACTCAACACTGTATTTCATAGATACATCAAAGAGAAATCAATCTTGAAACCTCTGGGAAATACAAAAATCTAACCCTAGAAATATAGACCTGCTCACAACTCAAAAAGAAAAGTATTTTCAGTAAATAATGCCTAGGTTCCACAGCATAAACTAACAATTGCCTAAGGACAGCACCTGTACTAGGTGTGATGGTGTAATATTAGTATAAAAATCATCCACTCTAAATAAAGTCCTAGGTAGTACTCTTGAATCATGACAGAGATAACTTCTCAGAAGCATTTTCCATCTTTCAAGCTCAATGTGACCATCTCACTACAAAGAAAAGGCACTCATGAATGGTATGCTCTCTTCAGAACTGCTCTAAAGAGCTATGAAGAATCTAAGAAAATCTGAAATTGCACCATGATAAGACTCCCTTTTTCAGAGCAGTATCTAAGTTTGTCAAATGATAAATTAAGAGTAACATCTAAAAATACATTATCGTCCTAGGACCCAATTTATTCTCCTGTCTCGAATCACAGGCTGAATAACGGGCATGATTACTCGAGATTTCTTGTGGGGATCAAATTTGGTACTATATAAGAGTTTCAGGATTTAGTCGAGTGAAATTTTAAATTTATAACTTTATGCAGGAAATCTTGACTTAAAAAAAAATAAAATGTATCCCCTCTCCTCCAAAAAAGGAATTAAAAATGCCATAGCTCCATGAACTCAGTAATGCCACCGATGAAACCGGCAGAAGCTGCCCTGACAGAGCTCTGCAGCTACTCTCTTCCATGACCCAACTGGGCAGACAGACATTACAAGTCTGACTGGTCCTTCTGCCAATGGGCTTGCTGCACGGCTAAAAAAAAAGAGAATTACTTGATTATGCATTTCTCAAGCTGTGTGTTTGCCTTTGTTGTATATAATTTAATGAATGCATGAATAATTAGTAAGTATAATAAAACAAACAAAAAAATTAACTGCCTGTTAGAAAGAATCAAGCAAAACTGTGTAACTTTAGACTGACAGCATCTTTAACACAGGTTTTAAGGCTAAGTTTATGGCTTTAAAGTTGTAATATAGTCCTCCCCATCCCTATTCCAGCTGCTGTCATTGTAGAAGCAACAGAATCCTAGACCCACCGTAAGAGTGGACCTAAGTACACGTGAAAACCTGTGCAGAAGTTAGCTCATCTGAAAAACAGATTGCATTTAAATACTGAAGCGTTCCACCAAAGCACAGAAAAACAGAGGCCTGAGCAACTGCAAAGACAATTTTGCTACTTACCCTCAGATCTTCCTTTGTGTTGAAGCTATCAAGAAGCTGTTGATAATGTCTATCAGTCATTTGTCGCAAGAGTGACAACAAACAGGAGACAAATTCCCCCTGTTAAGACAAGAACAGAAATATTATAGATTATAATGTCTTCTGTACTTGAGCTTAAACTGTCATATTATAGGCACTTAAAAATCATTAACAAATGCAAAGGAAACTAATCTACAATTAGAAAATATTATTTCTTAGGCTCTATGTTTTGTGAAAATAATTAGATTAGCTATGAACTTCCTTCCCATTTAAAGTATTATTTTCCCCAAATGCTGTTTACTTTCTTAGCAAAACCTGTTGGAAATAGTTCCAGAAGGGCTAAACCAGTAAAAGTTTGAGCTGTGATTTGTTTCCCCTGCACCTGTTTTTAAATAGATTATTTAGATTACTAAAATTACCACCTCTTAGTCAACTCAGTTTTGCAACAAATATAAACAAAAATATTTTGCAGCAATTCTGTGAAGAATGCTATTGTTTTCCTTTAGGGAAGAAATTAATGGAGTTAGCCGGGAATTACTTCAAAACTTTTTTTTATCACAAAAAAAATCTTATTTGAAAAAAGGAAAACTCATTTATAGGACTAAACAAATTTTGAAAATGTTTTGATCAAAAGTTTCCTTGGACCTAACAAAGGAATTAATTAAAAAAACATGTATCTAGAAGTTGAGCTTAATCATAGGGCAGGAGAACTCCCTCCCACAGTGCCAATTTCTGGATTCACACTCCACACTCCAGAAAAGGGACTCTCCAGGCAGCAGCTGAAGGACTTCGTGGACTGCTACACAGAATTC